TATATATATATATATACATACATACATACACACACACACACACACACACACACACACACACTCACACACACACATATACACACACACAATTTTGGAACTATCTACCAAGAAGTTACTATAATAGAAAAAAATCTTAAATGAAACCTACATGCTATCAAGATGAGGTAAGTTAAATAACATATGAAAGTTCCATCCTCTATGGAGTTCTCTGGAACCAGTTAAAATATATAACACATATTTATACAAACTACACAGTGGCTTCATTTATGTTTTCAAAAGAAAGGAAAAAGATACTACTCAACAAATAACAGTGACTTTCCTTAACTATGACCAAAGAACTTTTACTTTTCCACCTAAAATGTCTCCATTCTATTTTAATATTTGACCATGAAAAAAGCCTGTTTAAAAACAAACTCATCATAGGTGGTCAAAGAGGGAAGCCTAAGTAAGTATTGAGTGCTCAGCTGTGGATGAATAATTATCCATCAACTTCCCCACTCCCACACAGCCACCCAAGTCTCGGTGAGCAGAAAGCATGTAAGAGCTGGGTGGTAGATGGGGAGAACTATGAAATGTGACTTCCAGACATGATATGGCTACTGCACTCATTAACGTGCAACTGCTGTGGTTATCTGCACAAGATCGTGCCAGCCAAAATTCCAGCATGAATGGGGAGGAGTACCCCCCAACACTATGTGTGGAACTACTGACAACCTATGGCTGAAGGAGGGTGAGTCACCCACAAACACACATAATTTAAAATAATATTTTTTTTTAAAATAAAAGGCTAGGTGTAGTGATACACACCTGTAGTCCCAGCACTCAGAGACCAAGGCAGGAAGACTGTAAATTGGAGGCATGGACAACATATAGTAAGATTGGAAAGGAAGGAAGAAGAGTCTGAAAATAGTGGGGCAATGCTATTGATTATATCCCATACAATACAGAAAGCTATGACATTTTCCATTATTTGTGAGCATTTCGAGAATCAACTGAGTTCATGTCTTTTTATCAGACTATTTATTATTACTAAGTTAAAACTTTTAAATGTGAAATGGGCATTAAAAACAAACTATTGCCAGGCAGTGGTGGTGCATGCCTTTAATCCCAGCACTCAGGAGGCAGAGGCAGAGGCAGGTAGATCTCTGTGAGTTGAAGGCCAGCCTGGTCTACAAATGGAGTGCCAGGAC